CTTCTATGAAAAATTTAGTTCTGAATTATGAAATTAGAAATAAAAAATACTTTTTAAAAGACAATAGTTGTCTCTAAGAAACATTAAGTGTAACACAGGTCACTATGAAAATACGTCACTTTCCAGTTTGCTTAATAATTTACTTCAAAAAGTTGTATAGTTTCATCACAAGTGACTTAATAAGCATTTTTAAAAGTTTAAAACCTTTAGCCCTGTTGTTATATTTACTGTGTATCAGAGTACGAGACTGAGTTTGTGTGAAGGATACAAATTTACACACATTTTACAGCAACATATACCCTAACAACTATAAAATTCACATTTACAATACAAGCAAGTACAAGGCCAGGATTAAACTGTTGAATTCCAAAAAAAGTCAAACCATTTTTATTTTGTCCTGTTTTTAGAAGTTCAACTTCGGCACCATCTTCAAGAGCCTTATATCCTAAATTTGGAAAAAAGCCATTTTTCAGATACAGTTCAGCAAACACAAACAGTTTTTCGGTGCTGGTGAAGTAAAGGATTTCCAATTTTCTTCTGGCCCCTAAGTCTGCGCCGCATGGTAAGTTTAACAGAGTTCTTTCGCTGTGAGGTTGTGGCGAGGCTTGCAGGCTGAGCACTATTACTTCGACTTAAACCATTTCGTTTATGCTTCTTCATAAGAGGGCCAGAATTGGATTCTTCTAATGTCCTTTTAAAATTTGCTGGAGGGGTTCTTTCAACTTCTTGGGCTTTCATTTGACCTGAAGTTGATGTCTTTAAATTTTTTTGGTCCATAATGGTGTTTGTTGAATTGGTAGGCACCAGGCCAACTGACAGGCTATTATTCAAAGAATCATGTATCCTTAATGTCAGGGCTTTAGTGCAGTTTTCTTCAAGTGGCTCTAGATCTTTTGAGGGTAAGACTGCAGCCTGGACATTCCCTCGAGCTACCTCAGCTGGGACTTCTAAGTAATTCTCTGAGAAGGCATTACTACGAACAAGGGCAGGTACATGGTCCTTAGAGTTCAGCCTTGACCAAGGGTCCTCCTCCATTGACTGAAAAACAAGAAAGTAAACCAAATAAGAAATCACTTATCCTAGAACTCATCCTGACCCTTGGGAAGATGAAGGGTGTCATTAGAATAAATGACAAATTTGGCTTTTTCCTTCTTTCTATAGTCTAATTTCTGAATATTTAGTAGAGTGGAGAATGTAAAGCGCAACATTAAAGCAACTATGCATAAGGAAACTCACATTGTTGCCTTGCACCCTACTAAGCACGGCTAGGGCTACTCCCAAAAGTAAGTGAAAATCATATAGAAGCTCTCATATATTGTTTTTTAGAAGCTTCACAGGTGATTCAGATATGTACCACTCCTTTAGCTGTACAGCTCTAGATATACATACACTCAGAATATCCTCCCATCTCCAGACAGATAAGAACATTCTTCCTATCAAACCCAATCTTCCACTATAATACCATATAAAATTGTCTTGCCCTAGCCTGTTTGGCTCAGTGGAT